AGGTACCATTACACACCAGTCAGGATGGCTGCTATCCAAAAGTCTACAAGCAATAAATGCTGGAGAGGGTGTGGAGAAAAGGGAACCCTCTTACACTGTTGGTGGGAATGCAAACTAGTATAGCTGCTGTGGAAAACAGTGTGGAGATTTCTTTAAAAACTGGAAATAGAACTGCCATATGACCCAGCAATCCCACTTCTGGGCATACACACCGAGGAAACCAGATCTGAAAGAGACACGTGCACCCCAATGTTCGTCGCAGCACTGTTTATAATAGCCAGGACATGGAAGCAACCTAGATGCCCATCCACAGACGATTGGATGAGGAAGCTGTGGTACATATACACCATGGAATATTACTCAGCCATTAAAAAGGATTCATTTGAATCAGTTCTAATGAGATGGATGAAACTGGAGCCCATTATACAGAGCAAAGTAAGCCAGAAAGATAAAGACCATTACAGTATACTAACACATATATATGGAATTTAGAAAGATGGTAACGATAACCCTATATGCAAAACAGAAAAAGAGACCCAGATGTATAGAACAGACTTGTGGACTCTGGGAGAAGGCGAGGGTGGGATGTTTCAAGAGAACAGCATCGAAACATGTATATTATCTAGGGTGAAACAGATCACCAGCCCAGGTTGGATGCATGAGACAAGTGCTCGGACCTGGTGCACTGGGAAGACCCAGAGGGATCGGGTGGAGAGGGAGGTGGGAGGGGGGACCGGGATGGGGAATACATGTAAATCCATGGCTAATTCATTTCAATGTATGACAAAAACCACCGCAATGATGTAAAGTAATTAGCCTGCAATAAAAATAAATGGAAAAAAAAGTGAATATTACAGAAATAAACATTTTTACAGATGTAGAGACAAAACTAGAGGTTACCAGTGAGGAAAGGGAAGGGATGAAGGGAAATATAGGAGTAGGGGATTAGAAGATACCTAACAGTATGTATAAAATGAATGAACAACAAGGGTATATTATACAGATGAAGAATACAGTCAATATTTTCATAAAAATTTAAATGAAGTATGATCCACAAAAATATCGAATCACTATATTTTACACCTGAAACTAACATGATGTTGTGAATCTGTTGGTCCTTTATTGGACCGGAACCTGGTGGTCCAGAGTCGACAATGAGAGAGTGAAAGAAGGAAAGAGGCTAATATTCCCTGGGTTACGCAGCCGGCTTCCATGCTCCAGGGAATCAGCCAGAAAGAGAGAGAGAGAGAGACAGAGAAGAAAGAAAGAAAGACACGGGGACCAAAGCTCTGATGGAGCAAATGTGTTCTAATCAACATGGTGTGTGCATATATACTGTCTTACAAGGTAGGTATTCTCAGCAAAGATAAAAATTAAAATTCTAGACTTACAAAACACAAGGCGATCCCTATTAAAGAGAGAAGAGGGTACTTATCACCATAATGAGAAACTAACAAAGGAAATGCCTGGATTCCTCAGCCCTGGGACAGGCATGCCTCTCCTCTTAATTCCTGAATATTCAGGAATTAATAAGGACCAAAGGATTCTTGGCAGATCCAAAACAGCACACAGGAAGCCTCCTGTTAAATGCTTCCTGACATAAATCAATTATACTTGAAGAGAAAGCTCTTTCTTTGACTTCTGTTAACTTGATTGTAATGTGCCTTGTGGTGGATTTCTTTGGGATCATCTTATTTGGGATGTTATGTTTCTGTTTCCTACTTCTGGATGTCCAGTTGCTTGCATAGACTTGAGGATTTTTTCAGCCAGATTTTATTTGAGAAATCTTTTAGATCATCACTCACATTTTCTCCTGTGGTGATCCATGGAATGCCTATGTGACTCATGTGATATTAACACTTCCTATAAATCTTGGACTTTTGACACTTTTCATTCTTTTTTCTTTTTGCTCCACTTACTAAATTATTTCATTTTTCCAAACTCTATAATTCTTTCTTACATTTGTTTAGTCTGTTATTTAGACCTTCTAGCGAATTTTTCAGTTCAACTATGGTGTTTTGGCTTCAGTATTTCTGTTTGGTACTCTTCAAAGAATAAAATTGCCACTTTGTTAATGTATTTTTCTTCAACTACTTTGAGCATCTTTATGAGAGTTAAATTCTCAGTCAAGTAAATCATGTATCTCCACTTCAGTAGGGCCAATTTTAGGATCACTTTCTTGGAAAGAGCCTTTTTTTTCTTAATGTAATTACACTTTTCTTCATTTTTCCTTGTTTTTCTGCACTCATGTCTGCATATAGACAAAATAGCAAACTATTTTAATTCTCATGACCTGCCCTTGTAAAGGAGCTGACCCTCTCAATAAACTTGGCTAGAAAAAGCAGACCTCTCAATCTTGTGGCAGTATAACCCACTTTGTTTTCAGTAGCTCCAGGCCTCTGGAGAAGGTCAGGATCCCGTAGACCCTTCACAGGAGATTCGTCAATTCCTCGGGCAGCTCCCAGATTAGTTGGGTCATTGGTTGAACAGTGTACCTTTTGCTTTACCAAGGAGAAACTTTAGGAAAACTATTTTCTACTACTAGCTGTGTTAAGTTAATGTGGGGTAGGTGGCTACAGTTAGTTTTAGCCCAAATTGCTGTCTCTCTTCTCTCTCACCTCAGGCAGCTAAACTATGCCATATCCCATATCCTTTCAGCTTTCTCACACAGGCTATACAGAGGCCAGTCTTCTGAATGGCGCTTAGAAATGTTGGGGCTTTGGATGTATTGTGCATCTCTTTCTCTCCCCAGGGAGAACCTGGGAACTGGAGAATTTTGTCCCAATTACATAGTTCTGGATCACCATAGGTATATGGCAAGATGTACCTTACATTTTCTTAACAGTTTCAACATAATTGGTATCATGCTGGAACTGTGTGCAGCATCCTTTTAACTAAGTTTTGGGTTTCTTACAGAGGGAATCTGTACATAATTTGTTTTGAGTCAGTGTGTTCATGCAAGGAAGGAGATTCTAGGGCTTGCTCTTCTGCCATCTTGCTGATGGGAAATGGTCATTAATTTTGGCTGTTCCTTGGAAGATAAGCAATCCCTATAGCAAGGGAAAAGCTTGAGTTAAATATTGAGTCTATAAGGAACTAAAGAAAGATTGTATATACAATCCCCTTAGTTCCCTATTACACATAGAAACTGTTCCCTGGGGAATAGATGGAACAAGATGCTGCCATATCTATATCTGAGTATGTTATATCATTACACTCACATTAAAACCTCTGTAAATTCCTATGTGGCCAAAGTGATAATAATAGCAACCATTTATTTTTTCTGCTGCTGGATAGGACTGAAATCATAATCAAAACTATGACCTCTAATTCTGAAAGAATTCTAGGGCATATAAAAAATTAATTACAGATGGTGATTTCTTAAAATCAATAAACCAAATCCTCAGAAACTGAAATTGCCCTTCCAGGACCAAAGGGTAAAAACAAGAAGAAAGCCCTGAGATATTCTGCCTTAAGAGGGTGAGTTTCTGAATTCCATTTATATTCATGTTTTCCTTGTTCAAGAGGGAGACTGAGAACCTAAGATGACAGTTCATTTCCTATTTGTGCAGTCCTGAGATTCAACTGAATCTTGCAGAGAAATCTGTTTGAGGGAAGAGTAGGGAATGTTCAGAATCATTTACAGATACAAGAGATGCAGTTTCTTAGTAAGTTTCTTCTCCGTGGATGGAACACTTTTTCTTCAACTTTTATAAATTTTCCTGTATGGTATATGGAAAGACTGAGGCTGAAATTGAAACTCCAATATTTTGGCCATCTGATGCGAAGAACTGACTCACTGAAAAAGATCCTGGTGCTTGGAAAGATTGAAGGTGGAGAAGGTGAAGACAGAGGATGAGATGGTTGGATGGCATCACTGAATTGATGGACTTGAGTTTGAGTAGGTTCCTGGAGTTGGTGATGGACAGGGAGGCTTCGCATGCTGCAGTCCATGGGGTCACAAAGAGTCAGACATGACTGAGTGACTGAACTGATATGGAGCTGTCCTAGACTTTAGTTCCTCTTACCTTGTTTGTTTGTTTTTTTAAATAAATTGGAAGCAATATTCTTGGTTCCTACCCTGTATAGTCTTATGTGCACTAGAGGCAAAAACCAGGCTTTTGGGGTTGCTGCCAAAAGAAGAGGAGAGGTGAGGAGAGGATCCAAGTGAATGAAATAATGGTGAGATGAGAAAAGGGAAACTGTCCTCGTTCACACTTCTTTTCCATTGTTGTTCAGTTGCTCAGTCATTTCTGACTCTTTGCAACCCTATGGACTGTACCCTTCCTGATTCTTCTGTCCATAGGATTCTCCAGACAAGAATAGTGGAGTGAATTGCCATTCCCTTCTCCAGGGGATCTTCCTGACCCATGGGTCAAACCTACCTCGTCTGTGTCTCGCAGATCGATTCTTTACCCCTGAGCCACCATTATTCCTTTGGATAAAAGGCTATATTTTGGTGCTTTACAAAGCATCAAATATGCTTTGTGTGCTTTACAAATGCTTTAGTTTGTAAAGTGTTTATAAGGGAAATTTATGTCACTCATTTCCATGGTAATGATAAGTAAATTCTATGGATCCAGTTTGGGCTATTCACAGTCATTCCCAGTGCATACATCACTTTATATGAGGAGATGTGAGAAATACTCTTTTTTCTCTATGTAACCCTTCTCCCCTGTTTTCACAGATCCCCTTAGAGAAGAATGGCTCCAGGGAATGACTCTTTCATGACTCAGTTCATTTTAGTAGGATTAACAGACCAATCAGTTCTTCAGCTCCCCCTGTTTTTCCTGTTTCTAGTAATGTATGTGGTCACCGTGATGGGAAATTTGAGCTTGATCATTCTAATTGGGCTGAGTTCACCCCTACACACACCTATGTACTTTTTCCTGTTTAATTTGTCCTTCATAGATCTCTGTTATTCTTCTGTTTTTAAACCTAAAATGCTGATCAACATCATATCAAAGAAGATTATCTCCTACATGGGGTGCATGACTCAGCTTTACTTCTTCACTTTTTTTGGTATTTCTGAATGCTATGTGCTGACATCAATGGCCTATGATCGCTATGTGGCCATCTGTAGCCCACTCTTGTATAATGCCGCCATGTCCCCTAAAGTGTGTTCCAGCCTTATGCTCATTTCCTACTTGATGGCCTTTCTGGATGCCATGACCCTTATTGGAGGCATGTTGAGACTGACCTTCTGTGATGCAAACACTATCAACCATTATTTGTGTGACACCTACCCTCTGCTCCAGCTCTCCTGCACGAGTACCTACATCCTTGAGCTGGAAATTATCATCGTGTCAGGAATCAACATCATTCTTCCCAGTCTCACCATCTTTGTCTCTTATGGCCTCATCCTCTCCAACATCCTTCACATCAGCTCCACAGAGGGCAGGTCTAAAGCCTTCAGCACCTGCAGTTCCCACATCATTGCTGTTTCTCTGTTCTTTGGATCTAGTGCATTTGTGTATCTCAAACCATCTTCTATGCCCATGAATAAGGGAAAATTCTCTTCTGTCTTTTACACCAACGTGGTTCCCATGATGAATCCCTTAATTTACAACTTAAGAAACAAAGATGTTAAACTTGCTCTGAGAAAAGTCCTGAGGATGGTGAAGTTTTGATCAGAGACATTATCTGTCTGTGCATATAGTTTTAAGAGAAGGAGATTCTGTGTGTTTATTTAAATATTTATAGTTAGAATCTTATTTCTCTCTTTTTTAAATAACATGATTTAAATAATATTTGAGCCTTACCCCAATAATTTATCTCTGGCTTTTCTGTTACTTCATTTTTCTGAATCGTTTGCATGAGATCTCCTGCAGGTTTCCTTCTTACTAGTAATTTTAAATTAAAAATGTAGTATCTCTGTTATTTTTATTGTCATTTCATACTTTGAGTTTTTACTGAAAAGGAAAATGCTCCCCAAGTGATCAAATTTGAGACCCCTCTGATATAATGACAGACCAGTGATGAAAATCGGCTAGATAAGACTAAAGTAACATTGTTTCACTGGAGTTGTGCTTATCGGCCACTTGCTGTTAGAAACATGCATCAGGTATTCTGTTTCTACTTCCATCTTTCCATTCTCTAACCTGGAAGGCTATGTCTCCTTTAAATGTCAAAGATTGAAGTTTCCAAAAGGCTTTATCTGTAATTTATTTTGTATCTGGTAAATATTTTACATCAAACTTCTTTGGGCTGGGATTTTCTCTTTACCTTTGCACAGTGAACTCAGCAGATCATCTAAATATATTTATTTCATTGATGGTAAAATGAAGCTCTGAATGGTTAATTATTCAATGTCACAGGTTCATAAAGAAAAAAATCTAGACTAAACTGTTAGCCTTCTAATTTTAAGTCTTCTACTTCTGTAGTCTACTTACATCTACTTCATTCTATTCTATTTGTTTCAGTATGATCATTAATGAGAAAATATTTTTAATTTGAAGCTTAACTGTTGTTTATTCCAGGGGATGTATGAATTTCTCTCATTGTGCATGGTGCTTTTTTATTATTTGTTTGCTTGTTTAGGCAAAGAGTTTCATGGGTTTCTTTGGGTGGGAAAGGAAGGTCTTTTGGACTAGTATATTGGTGAGATGGGGGCTTCCCAGGTGGCACTATCATAAAGAAACTGACTGCCAATGCAGGAAACATAAGAGATGTAGGTTTGATCACTGGGTCTGGAAGATCCCCTGAAGGAGGGCAAAGCAACCCACTCCAGTATTCCTACATGGAGAAGCCCATGGTCAGAGGAGCCTGGAAGACTACAGTCCATAGGGTCACAAAGAGTCAGACACAACTAAATGACTTAGCACACATTGGTGAAATGATTAACTCATATAGGAAGTGTTTTTGTATGTGTCTAAAATTAAGAAAACTGAATTTCAGGTGTTTGAAAGTGTTTATTATTATTATTATTATTATTATTATTATTATTAAGAGAACAGGACATGGCAAAGAAAGAAGTCCAGAATCACATCAAGACAGACCTCTACAAGACAAATAGCCAGAAAATAAGAGGTCGCTGTGTGGGAAGTGGTCGTAAGGCTGAGGAAACAGATTTTATTCTGACATTGTATTCTTCTATGCAGGACTGTATATGTATTTCATGTGTATATGAATTCTTATGTATTTCACTGTATATGTATTTATATGTATATAAATCTTTGACAAAGTTATAATGTACATGATTGTACAGTAGTAGGGCATTGGGAAATGATGGTGAAAAGGGTGTGTCACATTTGGAATCAGGGAGAAAGAGGGCAACTACAGGTGATAAAATAGTTAAGAGCATTTGAAATGCAAGTTAGGAAGAAGTAATTTAGAGAGTAAATTGACAGATTTGAAAGCTCCTACCTATGACCCTGCTCTCCTTTCTATAAGGCCCTAGAAATATTATTGAGCTCACAGTGTTTCTCTAAATAGGCTATCAGCTTAAGTTATTTGATTTTTGACAGTTTTTTATGGAGCTTCCTATGCTACTTCTATACAGATTTTAAATTACTCAACCTCAAAGTGCAACTGGTAGTATAATGACATCTTGAAAGAAATACTCGGTGGATACACATATTTTTACACTGTCTGTACTAGAAAAGATGTTGCATTCTTATTTTTTAAAGGCAAAAAATGCAACCTATAAAATCCTCCATATGATGCATCATGGGTTAATATAAATATTTTCCATGGATGTCAGGCAAGCACATGTCTAGGAGAGGCTTCAACAAAGCTTATGGAACCCAAGGTCGGCTAGTAGGACCTTCCCCTCCAATACCCAGTGTCTGTGCTCGGATTACTGATTTCTGCTTCTGAACCATATGTGCAGACACAGGGGGAGCAACCACTGTTGTTGTGTCTCCCCACCCTGGCTATAATCCACTCCTGATCCAGCTGAAGTGACTTCCAGGGAATATAAAGGCCTGTACTCTTTTCCCCTCCCATCACGTTTTTCTTTTTGGAGCCACACATTAAAGACTAGGACTTTTGTAAAGTAAGAAGCATATAGAGAGATAATGGAAGGTCTCCATGTATGTATCTGGAATGATATAGGCTCAAAAGACAAGAAAAGAATTTAAATTTTTCACCTAAACCTAATCCTCTGCACAGAGATAACCTAAAACAATCTAAACTACAAAAATGAGAAGGGGGTTCTTAGATGGCAGGTTGGCAGGATGCTAAGCTCACCCCTTCTCAGGAATACATCAGATTACAACTACATATAGAGAAACTCTCACTGAAATTCACGTGGGCAAGAGCAGAACAGCTGTTCTACAATGAAGGTTATGAAGAATAATACATATGGAGTCTTCCAGGAAGGGGAGAGAAGCGATATGTTTGGGACCTATACGTCTCACCTGGGGCAGAAAAGAGGAAGGTGATATCACAGGCTGGGAATCCTCCTGGAGGAGCAAGGATTTGGGGCCAGAGTTTAGGCACACCAGCCCTAGGATTTAACAACAGGAAATAAGCCCCCTTTCTGACTTGAAAACCAGTAGAGATTTACCTGAATGCTGCAAGTAACTGAGACCCTGCTCTTGAAGAGCATTGCCAGACCTGCTCACTCCCAATCACAGCATGGAGGCAGCAGATTGAAAACTGCCTGGGACTCCATCCAGCTGGCGAGGACCACCCCAACATCCCCTCTACCCAGCCCTAACTGAGCTCCTTCCCCAGCCTCTCATGCTCCTGTGGTTGCTGCCCACTAAAGGGGAGGATGGATTCCATTGCTAGCAAAAGTGTGCAACCTTGGAGGGGTGGGAGGTGACTTGGACACTGAGGCTGCAACTGAGCCACTGTCAACTCATGTCTCTGCAGGCATTCCAGGAGGAGGGACGTCAGGTCCAGGGGACAGAACACTGTCAGCAGAAGGCACATTCCTGTCCATGTTGGGAGGGGGAAGGTTCAGTTCTGTGCTGTGGCACCAACCCCTCACCACTACCCAGCCACGAACTTAGGTGAGGTTGTTGATACTTAGTTTTTGTCATGTTGGACTCTTCTGTGACCCCATAGACTGTAGCCCACAAGTTTCCTCTGTTCATGGGATTGCCCAGCCAAGAATACTGAAGTCGGTTGCCATTTTCTGCTCCAGAGGACCTTCCTGACCCAGGAGTCAAACCTGGATCTCCTGCTTGCCTGGTAGATTTTTTTACCACTGAGCCACCAAGGAAGACTTTTGCACTCTAGGGAAAAAGCGAAACCAGCACAGAGCCAAGAACAACACAGCCCCAAGCTCACGGCCTAGAATAATTCAGAAATTGCCATCACATACTGGAGAAACCCACTTTCTCAACACTCTTTTTCCAACTCCTCTGGCAACATGCCTACCCCTGATAAGGTGGTGAAAGCCATTGAGAACTGGGAAGCCCTTGCTGACACCTGGCTCTGGCTCTGGTCCCACCAACTCCAGCCCTACATCCCACCAATGTAGTGGCTTCCATCACACCCCAGGGGAAGACACGGTCCATGCTCACTTCAGATCCAGTTCTCCCACCAAAGCCATTGAACATACACAGAATTCATAGGGCCACTCCAATATAAGAAACCACTTTCAAGGACTGGAATATGTAATTGCTTTATCTAATGTCAGAGAGACAGAAAAAGTTAAGAAAAATAAGAAGTTGTAAGAATTTATTTCGGATGAAAGAACAAGAGCAACTAAAACCTTGATTAAAACCCTAATGAAAAGCAGATAACTAATTTACCTGATAAAGAATTCAAAGCAATAGTAATAAGAATGCTAATGAAGCTGGGGGAAATAATAGATGAACAGCATGAGTATTTTAACAAGGAACTAGGAAAAAAAGACCATTATAACTCAAGTATACAATAACTGTAGTGAAAAAAACACTAGAGGGAATTAGCAGCATTTTAGTGATAAAGAAGAATGCTTAAGTGATATGGATGATAGAATAATGGAAACCACACAATGAGAATAGCAAAAAAGAACAACAGATTTTAAAAAATATGAGTAGTTTAATGGACCTCAGTGACAACAGCAAGCTTATTAGCATTTGTGTTCTAGTGGAACCAGCAGCAAAAAAGAGGAAATGTAAAAGATGTACTTAATGAAATTTTGGCCAAACACTTGCAGGAAACAGCTATCCAGGTTTGGGAATTACAGAGAGTCTCAAACAAGGTGAACCCAAAGCAGAATACACTGCAGCATATCATAGTTAAAATGGCAAAAGTTAAAATCAAAATAGAGTTTTAAAGGCAGCAATAGGGAAACAAAGAATCTCATGGAGGAAAACCACATAAGTCTATTATAAGCTGATTTTTCTGATGGACTTCTGTAGGTCAGAAGGGAGTAGCACAATATATTTAAACCACTGAAGGGGGGAAAAAAAAAACCCTGCAGCCTAGGATACTCTTCCAAGCAAGTCTATCATTCAGAATTGAGGTAAAAATAAAGAGCATCTCCAACAAGCAAAAACTAAAGGTTCACAAATACTAAAGCAACTATAGAGGAAATGTTAAAAAGTCTTCTTTGTTGAAAAAAGACTACAAGAAGAATAGGAAATTAGAGGAAGGGAAAATTCTATTGGTAAAGGCAAGTATATAGTAAAGGCTGTGAATCAACCACTTTAAGCTAATATAGTGGTTAAAAATGAATATTATAAAATCA